GGTGTTCAAGAACATGCAAGTGTCACTGATCGTTGGGTCCATAAAATCCCATAGCCAGGACATAATCATGGAATCCTCCTCTTCCCATGTTGTAGAGGCTGGATCCCTTTTTTCTGGTCTGGTTCCAAGTAGGTGATTAATTCTCCCTTTGCCTTTTAGGTATGTGCGAACAATTTGGGACCATTTGAGATAGTTCTTCCCATTGAACCTATTGGATGCTCGAATATTCTGCAACTCTCCAATTTTCTGAACAGCGTTGTATTCTTCAGAATTGTTGTAGTTGGAGATAGTGGTTTCGGACATTGACATGGTGAGGAAGAAAAATTTGCAGCAATTAAGGCTCGAAATCAACCTGCAGTGGTAAAAGAATCGCAACAATTAAGGCAGCTAATAAAGAAAAATCCAAAGAGCGGCAAAGATCGCGAGATCTCCGGCACAGGATTGCAGCGGCAAAGGACGGTTTTCCTCGTGACAACGTGCTGCTCCTCTCGGACGAAGCGGGAGTCGCTACTGGAATCCCGTGCTCGGGAGGAAGAGTCGCTCGTGCTGGGCAAAGAGAGATTTTAACCGTGCTCGTCGCTTCTGTTCGTGCTCGGAAGAGTCGCTCGTGCTCGCCGTGCTCGTCGCTTTTGCTCGTGCTCGGAAGAGTCGCTCATGCTCAGAAGAGTCTCTTGTGCTCGTCATGCTCGTCAGAGGACTCGCGATTGACAACTGCTACTGGATCGAGGCAGAGGACTGAAGCAGCCCGTGCTCGGAAGGAACGCGAGGAAGAGTCGGAGAAGCGCGGCAACGGCGGGGTCCTCTAGGGTTTCAACCTGGCTCTGATACTATGTGGGAAATCAAAATTATTTGTATTTCACTTCTTCTCTTGAATTAATCATACAAGGTATTATATAGGAGATTAAAAAGAGAAAAACTAGGAAACTATTTAACTATTTCATTAATTTAAGGGATTACAAATTTATTCTAATTTCCTTAATTTAAGGGATTTACCAATTAATTCTAATTTCCTTGATTAAGGAAATTAGAATTAATTCTCACAACTTTGTTTCCATCTCAGTCACATCTCGACAAAGGGTTTCATCACCCACCTGCATGACACATCCTACTTGCCTTTCGTGAAGGATTTGTTTCTTGATCTTTAAATTTTATTCAAGCCTACTCAATATTGCCTCAGTAACGCTTATGCACTCTCCCTTCTATTCATCTGACCATTATTTAAATTTTATTCAAGCCCTTCTATTCATCTGACCATTATTTATGCTGTTTTTTGGATATTTCATGCATTTTGTTAGTCCATTGTATTTTGAGTTTTGTTTGTTTAATACTCAGTTTAGCCCAAGCAAAACTGGTTGATTGCTAGTAAGATTGAGATACTGAATTGTTGCTTCGAGTCTGATTCATTATTGTTGTTTATATTATTTTAATTCGCAAAACTATCATTTTAGTGAAACTTATATTGCAACATTCATTAACTAGAAGAAATATAAAATTGTTGAATTTGATCAAACTTGCTAAAAAAAATCAATGCGAGAAATTAGCAAGAAAATATTATATCTTACTTCCAACTTTTTTGACTGTTCAAGAAATATTATGTGGTATTTAAGATATTTTTTTTCTTAGGTTCTTAAATTATTACTGAATTATTTATGATTTTTAATGTTTTGTACTATTTTAAAATAGTGTGCATTACATTATGCATTATAGCTCTACGGGCCTTTACCCAAAAATGCACTGCTGGATATTGACAATTAAAACGAATTTTGGAGAGAAAAAATTATAGGAGATAAGGGTAAAAAGAGAAAGAAGTCGACTACGAAATACTGGCTGATAATAGAGAGAAGAGAGAGAAACGTATGACTGATAGGAGAGAGAAAGGAAAAAAGATCACGCATTATAGTCAATGATAATGTCATGTTCTTCTTTATTACATTATATCCTTATTAATAAACATAGGATTCAGCATGTTTAGAAGTAAAGTAATTTGAAATCAAATCTAATAATATGGCATCTAATCAAATCTAAGGGGCTATTTGACTTGGTAAAAAAAGAATGTGGTGTAATTGAAGTATAATATATTTGAACATTTTGGAGTTATTTGGTTTCCTATAAGAAAATGCATGAGTTGATCTTTTTGTATTTGATTTGAAGAAAATTAGAATTAATTTAAAATAGGCGTTGGGGGGGGCGGCAAAACAGACGACGTTTGTGCCTGCTGCTGCAGTGAACTCCACGAGTTACGATGGTGGCAACAAGGTATAGTGGGAGGTGGCGACAGTGATGGTCGGCTGTAATCGACAATGACGGGCAGCAGGTCAGTGCTGATATATCATCTTCTGCTTCAAAGTTAGCAACTTGAGTATGTCGAAAAAAGGGTGACAATTGAAGCAAAGATAGGTCCAGGTTTTAGCAAAGGAGCAAATTAGAAAATCACAATAGCACATGTCAGTAATGTGCATGATTAGCCACATGAAAAAAAGAAAGGTTGACATGTATGGAGTTTAAAACAAGAGAGGAATATGTGAAAATTGCAATGGAAAAGATTTATGCAACATTGATCTTTAGTTTGAATAGCTAAAGAAATCTTGGATATTGGACTTGAGTTTTTTAGTTCACTTTATTCAAAATAAAGAATATTTCAACAACCTGTCTACAAGAAATTGCAGGATGATTCATTTTGATAATGGTAAACTACTAGACATTGTGGCAGCTGATAATGTATAAATAAGATTGGCAATGAGCACATAAGGAAGCTTCAAAATGTGAGGCAAGATTTTGGCATAAATAAGAATTTGATCTATACTTAATAACTATGTGTGAAGGTTATGTATGAATTTTCTTAAGCAGTAGATTGTTAAGATGTGTGGAGCAAATTTTTCTAAAATCAAAATCTTCCTAAATCCAAAATGGTAAGCCTCTAACTTACGCAAATTTATTTTTGTTGAAATCTAATTTCAGTAGACATAATTTTCTATCAAGTAACATTAAGTCCAAAATTTTGTCAATAATACTCTAACATAGCATAAATCTGTTTTCCCCCTCCATCGCCTTAAATCAATTATAAAACTAGTAAAAATTTAATGGCTAGAAAGTGGCATCCAAGATGCTTAGAAAGCAATCATCTCAGTTAAAAAATATGGCCGATGGCTTCAGAAATCGCAGATATCAAGTGATGAAGAAAATAAGGCCATAGAAAGAGAGAGAGAGAGTTGGACTTTGCTTTGAGTGGGTTTGAAGTCATTTCTTGTTTTAAGATTGCAGTGAGCAGTAGTAATAAGGTCAAAAGAAAAGGAGAGAAAAAGGGAATAAAAGGCATGGTAGAGAGACTGATAAATAGAGAAATAAACAGTGAGAAAATATTTGGGGGCATATATTTAATCCATGCACTCGTCTCTATTACTATTGAAAGTTTGCACTATGCGTCCATGGACGTTAAGTATATCTCACGGAACTACATAATTTTATGAGCTCTTTCTCTTGTGATAACTTTGCAGGCCTTACTATTTCCTCAGTTAGATTATGTTTATTACAGCTCAGACAAAGCTTTCTTCCCAAATCCCCAAAACCATCAGAGATATTTAACCTCCATTTACAAAAATCTTTACTAATTTTATTTCTAGCAGTTACAATTTCAATGTACAAACAATACAAAAGTTACAAAAAGAGCCAAAGAATTAAAAACATGGAAGGAAGAAATCCAAATAAAGCAGTAAATTCGTTTTACTCTGCTTTTATTTGTATTCTCTTCAAATTGAAGTAAAGAAAGCCCAATGGAAGCGAGAAAAAATCTAAACCTAAGAGAAAGCCAATTTAAGGAACCTGTTATTGCGCCCAGCAGATTGCCACAATCCACATGTCCATCACACAATGAATCCAGTATTTGAACACCTATATTGCTGTAGAGATTTGGGGACAGAAGGAGAGAAAACCTTTAAAATATTTTTTTAAGAAATTTTTTTTCACTGAGCAAATAAAAACAAACCTTCGGAGATTTAGCTGATGAATGCCTACAGAGAGAAGCATCTAGAGAGCAATGAGGGATAACAAAATACGAAACCAAATCAGAAATGTTTCTACTAAATTTTTTTTTTGGGGAATTTATATATATACCACCCAATTCCTATGTATATTCATATCTAACACCTAACTCTATTTTTTTACATTTATACCACCTAAAACTTTCATACCACATCAAAAAAATCACTCTTTAACTTTTAAAAACCGAAATACACCATTCATACATAAATAAGGTGGCACATATGTAAAAATTGAAGTTGAGATGTTAGGCATGTAAATATATAAGAACTGTGTGCTACGTACGCAACTTTCACATTTTTTTATACATATAATGTTCATTAGCTGATTAAAATGATCTGAATACCTGATCTAGATGCATGCCAACAGCTCTAATAACAAAATTGGAACTGATATGATTTAGATAAGATATTGGACAAAGAAGAGCAGCTGCTTCAACCATTTTGACAATATCTGGAATGGTAAAGGCAGCAAATGCCATAATAGTCCCCTGAAAATCAAAAGGAATATAAATTCAAATTAATAAATTGGCACAAAAACCAAACAATATTCTGGCATTGCTATGATGCTCCAAGCAAAAGCTGAAGAAGATTTTTTAGGGCCTGTTTGGCATTAGTTTTCTTTTCTGTTTTAATCTTCATTTTTTCTTTTACTTTTGAAAATAAATTTGGTTAGTATAACTTTTAGCTGTTTTTATTATTTGTTTTTGAAAACAAATCACATTGCTTTTAAAAACTACCATAATCAAATAACTTTTAATTCAAATCAAAACATAAACAAAACAAAAATAGAAATAATAAATGAAAAACAAAAATAAAAATGATTCCAAACAACCCCTTAACAGTTTGACTGATTAATACCTGTGAATGGCCTATGTATAAAACTTTAGAAGATGTTTCAGTCTTTATATAGCTCAACATAGCCGCCAAATCATACTGAGCCAAATCCTGCCAACTCCAATCCCAAAATGCCTGCAACAGTATACATCTTCATGGTATTATATATAACTCAATAAATTTTTGCACAATTTGAACAAAAACAAAAGGCGAGAAAAGCCACATACACGGTCATGCTCGGATAAAGTGGCGTGCTTACGACTCCAACGTGTGCCACGCACATTTCCAACCCACACATCAAAACCATGATCAGCGAGTATGAACCCGAGAGACTCATCGACGGAATTTAGAAACCAAGTGTCACCCCCCTGTACAGTATAGAAATATAGATTCAATATCATGTCAGAAAAAAACGAAAGGAAAAGTAACCTGAACTAAAAAAGGTTGGAAAAAGGTTGGAAGATTTACATACAAGATTTACATACAAACCACTTAATTTTTATGTATTTACATATCTAACACCTAAACTTCAATGTTTACATATATGCCACATTAGCCATGCATGAAAATGTGTATTTCGCTTTTTAAAAGTTAAAATTGTGGTATTTTAGATTTGATGTGGAAGATTTGAGCGGTATAAATGTAAAAAGTAAAGTTTAAGTGTTAGATAAGTAAATACAAAGGAATTGAGTGATATGTATGTAAATACCCCAACAAAATTTAACATTTGGCTGATTCAAGCACCTGAGAATAACAAAATGAATCACAAAATGTAAGATATAAGAAAAAACTAAGAAAGAAATTACAATGCCTCATATGAACCTGAAAGAGGCCATGCTGAAGGAAAACAGGAGGGCCATTGTATCCAGTTAATGCACTTCGCCCATTTGAAATACGTTGAAGTGTTAGTAGATAGCCATCCTCAGTCTGGACCTGAATGTAACACCAGCATTACATAAAACCAATAACTTTCAACAATTCAGATTTCATCATACAGCTTTAGAATAGAAAAAAAAACATTAGGCGCTGTCAAGGAGTTAAAAATTTGATGAAGTATAAAGATATTACAGCATATCAATCAACTTAAACCAATAGAAATTTAGCCGATCGTCAGCAAGCACGAAGATTGCAATCTCACATTGAATGTTATGATTATATTGGTCTTCACCACAACCTCTGAAGATATAATCCGTTATCCACAAGGACAGATTACATGCATAACAAGGATAAGTAACAGTAAATACATGCAACTAATAGTAAACATTGCCTACATGTCTCACATGAACATAAGTTCCTCAACCAGATTTGATGGCAAATATCCCCAAATGGCCCCTGTTTATAAAACAGTCTGCGCCAATTTGACTGGAGCATCAAAATTATATAAAAAGAGATCTATCATGATCAAGTTTTTTAAACACAATGAAAATGATAGGGATCAAACACAATGCATGCAATTTGAGTCCGAGATGTCTCCACATGCGCCGGAATTGCTCAAATGATCTCCAATAACAGGACTGGCTTAAATAGAAGGGAAAACTTTTAATCAACTACTCCAAACACTTGCATTAATTGCATAGTTTTAGATACAAAAGCCTAAAAACTCTCTAGTATGGATAAGTAAATAGAGTAGGAATAAAAGAACCTTTAAAAATTCAACATTTTTTACTACAGTTTTTTGAGCTTATGGCATCATAAATAAAAACTCGGTTGGCAATGGATAATATATTAAATTCTCTCTTCTCAACCTCTTCTTTAGTCGATGCCATAAAGAGATGATTTTTAAAACACACATTTTTTCGATTTTTAATCATAGCCCTCGGACAAAAGATTTCTAGTTAACCCTTGCAATGACTTAAGTAGGAATCAACAAATAAAATGCCATTTGGGTTGCTTCTCTGAATCCCACTTCACTAGGCAATCATATTTGGAGTTGAATTTGGTACTAATTCACCACATCTGCCCGGCAACAAGACTAGTTAGGAGTTCGATATGCTATAAACTCTGGTTTAGCTAAATCTTTTTCACAACTTCTAACCATCTCCTTGAGCAAGAACTAAGCCACAATTGAAATAGATATAGTATAAAATAACAATATAAGACCATGAAGATAGTTAAATTTAATTTTGTAACTATAGTTTACACCTGAACCAAATTCCATAGTTGCTTAAACTACTTCCCAACATAAAAGTAAATACCATAAAAGTAAATTTTCTTTTTTTTTTTTTTTTTTTTTTTTTTTGCTTTTCCTATCAAAGCGTCTAAAATAATTGAATTTTCGGTCGCTGGATTGAGGGCCATAAAACAACAACATCAAATCCTTAATTCGGCTAAGGGGGGTCAGCTACATAAATCATTTTTCTCTACTATGTCTCATGCCCAAGAAAGTCTACCTCCACCTTTCTTAACATAAATCAAATTTAAAACATCTACTCTACTAATCGAGTCATCAGATGCTCGACATTTAATGTGATCAAATCATCTAAGACAACTCTCTCTAATCATGTCAGCCACAGGAGTTACACAAACCCTTTCACGAATATATACGTTTCGCACTTTTTCTCTAGTTGTAAAGTCACTCATTCACCAAAGCATTCTCATCTCAACACACTTAGTTTTATGCTTCTCTTTTATAGGCCTCATTTTGCATCATAAAGCATTGCATGTCATACCAACATTATATAAAATTTTCCTTCAACCACTGCATTCCTCCACTTTTCTATCCAACTTGAATTATACTATCACATAATAGTCCCGATGCATTCCTCCACTTAAACCATCCAACTTGAATTATACTAATAACATCGCCAGTATTACTAAGAAACTTATACATCCCAGTTATTTTAACATTTTATGAATTCAGATCCCTTCACAGATTTCGAAGGCGAGTGTCATATACTCTTATTTTTAACTACTTCTAGAAACAATCACTTGTTTCTTACTTCTCCATGTCATTATATATCCCCATACATAGGAGCAATAACCTATGGTAGACCTTCTGGCAGTGAGCTCCTTAGCCCAACTAATATCATTATAGACTTCTACTTTGCTTCTAGTTTTCTCAAAAATTAATCCATAACTAGGAGTCTTCTAAGGAAACCACAGGATTTTGTATACTATCTCCAAATGCTCTTCATTTGGGTTATTCATGTGTTGGCTCACAATACTGATAAAGTATGCAATATCTGGTCTTGTATGTGACAGTTAGATGAGTTTTCCTATCAATCTTTGTTATCTAACCTTATCTGCAAGGATGATTTCTTCTCCCTTCTCTAACTTCTTGTTGGGATCCATTGGAGTATCAGCAGACTTATCTTCAATCATCTCTATGTCCTTTAATAAATCTATAATGTATTTCCTCTGTGATACAACAATGTCTTTCTTGAATCTTGCTACCTCCATAACTAAAAATATCTCATGATTTCTAAGTCATTGGTTTCAAACTTTGTGGCAAGCACTTCTTTGATCTTGAGAATCTCTCATTCATCATCACCAATAAAAATCAATTCATCCACATATACTATCACAACAACATCTTTACCTCTTTAAGTGTCTTTTAAAAATAGAATATGATCAAGAATATCCATTAGATTTCATAGTTTTAACAAAACTTTAAAACCACACACTTGGGCATTGTTTAAGTCTATAGGAGACTTCATGAGTTTGCATACTATGTGTTTGTTTGAATTATTCTTATGTCCTATCGGTATCTTCATATAGAATTATTTCAAATCCTCATTCACAAAGTCATTTTTTATGTCAAGTCGATATACTCATTTCTTGTAAACTGCTACTGAAAGGAGCACTCTGATAGTGTTAAATTTGACAACTAGTGTGAATGTCTCCAATCAATCCTATAGGTTTGAGTGAAACATTTTGCAATAAGTCTGGCTTTGAATCTCTTAACACCATAATCAGCTTTATATTTGATGTCGAACACCTATTTGCACCTAACTGTATGATGAGGGAGTATAGTAAAAATTCATGTACCATTATGCTTTAGTGCTCGAATCTCCTCTTCAACTATTTTCCTCCATTTTTTTATTTTCAAGGGCTTCATGAATGGATTTAGGAATTTGCATACTATCAAGATTAGAAATAAATAAAGAATAACATAAATATATCTTACATAAATTAGGAAAAGAAATATGCTGAAATGAAACTTAAAATAACATGGAATATGAAGAGAATAAACTAATAAAAAATTTTCTAAGTTGTTCCAATTAAATTCTCCAAAATCTTCTCAGATTTTACCTAGAATCTCATATTTCCTCCATAATATTCTCAGATTTCCACAGTGCCCTTTAGCAACAAGCAACTTAAGAAAAGTAAATTATTTTTTAGATCTGGGACATAACTCACATCTCCAAGTGTTTTGATGTTTCCATCAAATATCTTGATTCTAATAGTTCCAACGCCGATTATCACACATGGAGCATTGTTACTCATTAACAACAGGTACCCTTCGACACGGTTTCATATGTTGAAAACAAATCCTTGTTAGGACCCATACAAAATGTGCATGTTAAATAAAAAACTCAATCATCAAAAAGTACTTCATCAGAAACAGATAACAGTTCGCCCAAAATGTGCATGTTAAATAAAAAACTCAATCATCACAAAGTACTTCATCAGAAACAGATAATCACTAACAACTTTTTCAACAATACTGGCTTCACCGGAATGATCTGATTGTTTGTCTTTCTAATTAAAAGTTAATTTTTTTATTCTAGAACTTGTAACATTCGGTTTTGATGTGTCACTTTTTTTACAATAATTTCAAAGCTTATCTTTATTTTTATATTTGATCTACTCTTCGTATTAGCAACAGAACTACTCTCTTGAGTTCTACCTCAAACGATAAGACCTTCTCTTTGAGCAACAGATTCATCCACAAATTGCTTCATCTTTCTCATAAAAAATGGAGTATCATATATTTCATCTAGAGTAGATTTCTCTCGCCCATATAAAATGGTATCTCTAAGCATTATATATGATGAAGGCAACAAGCGAAACAAAATTAATGTCAAATGTTCTTCGCCACACTTAACTTTCATGACTTTTAAATTAGAGATGATTTCTTCAAGGACAGTTAAATGATTTATAATTGATGAATCTTTTATTATCATGTTAGAGTACAAATGTTGTTTCAAATGCAACTTATTGGTTAGAATTTTCATCATGCACAACTACTTTAATCTCATTATACAAATGTTGTTTCGAGCGCAACTTATTGGTTAGACTTTTCATCTTCCACAATTGCTTTAATCTCAATTATAATGCAGCAACGATCATCTCCTTCGAAACATCCTCTAAATTTAATTTAATATATAAAGCTGAATTTGAGAAAGAGTATTTCGATCTTTTCGTTGCTTTTCCTCCAACTTTCATGATGAGGACATCTTTCAAACCTAAGTAGTGCATCGTTTGGATCCATTTGCACTAACATAGCTCACATCTTAACCTGCCAAAGCGAAAATCTAGTTTTGTGGTCTAAAAGAGGCATATTGTACTTTGTTGTTATAGTTGTCCCGATCAAAACTAAACCTGACATCAGTTGTTATAAATTGATATCGAATTGATGCAAAGCACAATGAAAAAAAAATAAAATGAAACAAATATTTCATGTATAAAAACTTAAGATGAAATATACCACAGACAAATGAGATAAATTCACTGTATCAAATAAGAAATTACAAGTAGAGAGTTTCGGCCAACGTCAAAGTGAAGTAAGAAAAGTAAGCGCAATTGTACAAAAAAAAGGTATTTATAATTTTACAAAACTCCTTTAAAAGAAATAATTAAAAAGAACTAATAAAATAACAGCACGTGGATTATAATCTAAAGGTTATTATTAAATTGATCAAACGGTAGAAATCTTCAATCCGTGTGCTCAAAATTTCCTCCTAAAGTCTCAATCCATGTGCTCGCACTTTTTTTATGAGAAGGTTGAGATCCACAGAATTCAAATCAAGAATTTAGCACGAGATATTAGTGTACTCTTGTCTTTATAATACCTCTAAAAGGCAACTTGATTGCATCATTGGAGAGGAGCGAGAGTTAGCATGGGAGGATGCATTCAGAAATGAAAGAGAAATATTTTCTTCAACTTGGTTTAACAATAAAGAGTGATGACAACCTAAGACATCACCAAGGTTTTTGATTTCATTGGTTTTGACTTTCACTCTAGTTGAGCGTGTGATGAGCCTTTTTACTAAATTTCTGCGCTCCTACACCTATTTATTTTCTTTTTCTTCTCATCCTTTTCATTTGGCTGTGATTAGGGCTCTAATAGAGTCGAGTAAAACATAGTTTGGACTTGGCTTAGTACAATTATAGGTTGTTCATATTAGCCTTGAGCTTGTATCAAACTTTCGCATATTGTTCAAAATTGTCTTGTTTAAAATGTTTAATGTTTGAACTTGATTTATACTTGATTTATTTATGACAAGTGAACAAGTATTTAAATGAGCTAAAATTTCAAAGAAGTATATAGATTTTCATATAAAAACATAATTTTACAAATTAAAAAAACAATTTAATAAATCATATGAACAAATGAACTAACCCACAATGTGTCATATAGTGTCTATAATAGATATATTCTCACAAGAATAAATTCTAAGATAGAAGAAAAATATTGAAACAAGAGCAAAAAAAAAATTAAATTAACTAATATTACAAAGTAACTTATAATGTGAAATCATTCATCAATAGTAGAAATAGATGAAAAGACCAGTCATAATAAAAAGGAATGAATAAAAGTGATGTCCACTTTTTGAATTCCATAATGCTAATTTTCAAATAGTTAATAATTAAAAATAAAATAAATATGTAGTTATAAATTAATCTAAAAATATTTTTGATATAATAATATAATGTTATTAAATCTATAACTAAATAAATTATAACAAGTCAATTTTTATTTAAATGCTATATATATATATATATATATATATGATACGAGCTATATTTGAGCTTCATATTGAGTATTTAACAAGTTACATATTGAACAACAAATAAATTTGTTCGTGAACATAATGTTCAAGCAGAGTCTTACTAGAGAGAGAATGCATTAATTTTAGAGAAATTTTGCTAGGGTTTAGTGTAACGCAACCTATTGCATCAAATTTTTATTACCATTGTTAGGTGAGAAATATAAACAATAAGGAGTAGCCTACCCCACTAAAAAATGGTTTTCGTAGGAAACTGGAAAAATCATTGTACCGGGATGATTTGATAGAATAATAAAATTTTAAAAACAACAAAAAGGCATGAAAACAAAAAACAGAAAACACATTACCTCTTTTTAAAAAAATTTAGAAGTCAACGAATTTTAAGAACCCTTCGTCAACATTACTCATTGCATCACATTACCTTAATAACAGACGGATAAAAAAATCCTTATAAAACCTATTTCCGGACAAGCCTACCCCACTAAAAAATGGTTTTCGTAGGAAACTAGAAAAATCATTGTACAGGGATGATTAGATAGAATAATAAAATTTTAAAGAAAACAAAAAGGCATGTAAACAAAGAACAGAAAACACATTACCTCTTTTTAAAAAAATTTAGAAGTCAACGAATTTTAAGAACCCTTCGTCGACATTACTCATTGCATCACATTACCTTAATACCAGACGGATAAAAAAAATCCTTATAAAACCTATTTCCGGACAACTAAAGGGATTTTTAACAAATTTACAGGAACATACATGCATGTTTAACCTGATAACCCCTTTCAAACACAAGTAGAACGTTGAAAACCTGTAAATTAGTCACTGCGAAACCTAATAATCAAGACAAATAGAGACGCATACTGTGTACTCAGTGCAAGGGTAGCCCATGGGACGAACTATCAGAGCGCAGAGTCCATCGTTGTTCTGTGGAACGCCGTAGACAGAACTTAGGTACCCTAGAAGAACGATGGCCATGAGCGAGGCCGAAGCCCAGCAGCTCGAGGTCTCCCATTCCATCTTCACCAATCTCACAGCCCAGAGCTTCTACGGAAATTTTATGATGGAGCGAGATGAGCGATCAGTTAGTTATCCCTTGTTATACTCAATCGATGGAAAGTTGGAAACCCATTTTTTATGGAAAATATTAATTTAAATTAATATGAATATTATAATTTTTTTTTAAATTAATTAGATCTTTTTAGAGGTGTTTTAAAACTTCAACCGTTTGATATGAAGAAAAATAAATGTAATGTGAAATTTTTAATATATCAAAAATTTATTATGTGTTCATTTTTAATGTATTTGAAATTGATTTGTGTAAGGTACCATCCCCTTCTACGACATGTCAATTGTCACTCTATCTGCTGTCAATCACCTCTATTGACCATATTTTACATTGAATTCATTTTTCTTCAAACCAAATAGGAAAATACAAAACACAGCATCTATGTTCTGTTGAACCAATTCTAAAATATTTAAAATATCATATATTATTTTAAACAACAGTCTTTTTCAATAAACCAGACAATCCCTAAACAAGATTCAAATTTTGTTAGAATAATGATTGATGAAATTTCAATCGAGGTTGGAATAAGATTCAATTTAATTAATATGTTGATACAATATATTAATTAAATTTTATTTTTAAACTATTTCATTCATTAGAAAATTTTGCAATTGTTTAGCTAGAAAATAGTAATGTAATCTCATGAAAATATGCAAGTTAGAATTTAACTTGCAAATTGTCAAACATTTTTTTTTCTAAATTTATCATATATCTGATTTTAATGAGCATTGAAGATATAAGATTTTACTAATACAATTAAAATTTCCTAAGAAATAATATACCTTCGTACAAGAGAGTTTTTGAAAGTCTGATGTCCATTCTCTAAGTGATTTTTCACCAGTGTTCCGGATAAGCTATATTTATTAAAAATTTCTTTATAACTTTTAGGGTTTAGAATTTAATTAATATAAATTAATGTAAACCTATATATTTCACTTCAATTATATATAATTATGTTTATGTTATAACCCTTAATTTTCTTATATAGGGCATTATCTCCATCTAGAAATTAAAAAGTGCTCGGTTCTACTTTCCTCAAATCAAGTGAGAGAAGATTATAGAAGGGGGGAAGAGAGAATATAGATGAAACAAGAGCTTAGAAACAAATTTGAAGGAGATAGAAATGTATATTGATATTGATATTAAAGTTTTTGTCATATGTTTTTTTTAAATACAATTTCTAAATTGAGTTTTTTAAATTTACCCAATTTTTTTATAAATTTGCATTGTATTATAGTGACAATATATATGTCATGCATGATTACATTTGTTTAATACATATTAAAATAAGCACTTTGAGTTAACTTGATAAATCCTGCTGTGTCTAATGTCAATGTACTTTTTATATGTACCAAAAAAGATATAATGACATAAATGTTGTGGACAATTTAGAATGTTAATTACAGTATTTATATTATGAATTGTATACAAATAATAATAAAAAAAAATTGTCTGCTATAATTCAAGTTGGCAGAAACACGACATTCGAAAAGCATATGAGTTTTTTTTCTTTAGTTAGGGTTATAAACTCAATGTTGGATGAGAGTTATAAGACTAGGCATCATATAATTTAAATATCAAAATGTTGGGAATGATGGCTCTTTTTTATTATCTCACCCTACTATTCTTGTTTACATGACAAGAGATGATACTATACATATGGCTCTTTTTTATTATCTCACCCTACTATTCTTGCTTACATGACAAGAGATGATAACATACATGATTTATCATAGTTAGAAGTTAAAAAAAAAACATTACTTATATGATGAAATTAGCTAAAAAGCTCGACCTGTGCAAATAAATGCATCTTATATTACTATACATGATAATCTGAGCTAGATATAATGCCTCTATTTTGGCATAATATCCTATACATCACCTGAAACTAAAATTAATACATGTTGGCCATGATTTGCATTATATGTATACTAACTAATCATGAACAACGCTTTGTATAAAGCAGAGTACATGTTATTCATTCAAATTCAACAAATTCCTACAAAAGAAATACATTGCATTCATTTCGCTGTCAATTAAATAGCATCATAATGCATTTCAAGTTTTTGTTGTGAGGAAACATTTTAAAACCTATGGATAGAGTTTTTATAAATAAAGTAGAAGTACAATATAACTTTTATAAAGAAAATATGATCTTATTTTGGCATATGAAGTGAAATAGTTAAGTAATAAGCAGTTTTTAATGATAATGTTCATTAGAAGTATATGTATGAAAGAGCAACATCAAAAAAATCGTCTCAAATTATACAATTTAGCCAATTTTTTGAATGATAAGTATATATGTTAGAATGATGAAAATGATAATATTTGTATGGTGGGAAGATTATAATATCATCGGTGTCGTCTAATTCCTGAACACACTGTATTATTTGACTATTTATTTAATTTGAGTATATTTATTAAAATATGTTTATTTAATTAATATATTACTCTAATATTTTATATTAAAATAGATTTTCAAGTTACTTTGATTTTAGATAATTTTATAAATATTTCATTAAATAGTAATGCAATCTCTTGAAATTTTATGACATGCAACCTTCAAAAAATAATTTTTAATTCATTAAAATCTTGACTTATAAAACTTCTTCATCATGGAGCAATACTAACACTATTTAATAAATACTTTTTTTCTTATTTAAATGGCTTTAGGTCTACATAGAGAAGATGATGTTTGTTCAACTAAAATTTCATGACGAATTAACTTAGTTATTTTGGTACACACATTTTCTTAAATAATTTGTTATCCATTTTTAAATTAATTTATTAATGTAGTAGTATTTATTGTTTATATATTTTTATAATAATTGGAGCTTTAAACTTCAACTATATATATATATATA